TGAGGCTGTGGTGGAGAATAACTCAGTACGCTATAGTTGTTCTCCATAGTGTCATGTTAAGTTGCCACTTACAACGGAGTACAATACATTGGTATCGTTGTTATATAAAAAATTGAGTGTGAGCAAACGTTCGATGAATATTAAAGTAACCAGAAGATATGCGTATTCTGTTACTCCGCAAGGGTTGCTTGTTATGCTGAGTTTAATATCGAAGACGATGAAACTCTGAGAGATTTTTTGAAGACTCCGGATGAACACCGGAAATTTCTTGTGATAAAAATATTGGAAATGTACGTCAAGGCTGGAGACGTTCGCAATAATGAGGTTCCGCAAAGTAGGGATATCCCCCAATCATCGGGTAGTTATTTTGGAGCAGCTTTAGCCGAACAGGTTCCGGGTGAAAGAGTTTAGCATGATTTAAACTTATCTCTACGGGCGAATGAGGAGCGAAGAAATAATTTCTCCCCAAGTTTACATAATCCACAAGCCAAGTGGTGAACTTCAATTTTTCTCTGTGTTACGATGTTTATTTTTATGTATTGAATTTGTATTAACACTCATATATTCCCCAGGGGGTACCGGCCATATATGAATTTTACAAGTTATGAACCAACGGCCAGTTGGAATATGCCTAGTTTTGGTGTGTTGGATTATGGTGGTCCATCCGGGAGTCATCATCAACAGGATAACGTGCATCATGGGATATCAACATGGTATGATTTGTAAGTGAAGTGATAAAGTTTATATGTAAAGTTTGGATCAATTGAAAAACTCATTATTTTATTGGTTGTGCAGTGAAAACGAGCAACTTGAAGGTCCGGTCCTTACTCAGTTTCCCGAAAATAATATATTTAATTGAGATCTGGCAGATACACAGAGTCAGGAAGAGAATAGTGATTATGACAACAATGCTGATGAGTCTAGAGATGACACACCCTTCCTTGATGAGAGTGATAATGATGAGGACGAGAATGCTGAACCTAATTTGACGAGGGAGCATGCTCCACCTCCCGTTAGACCAAGAGTGTACGAGTCCCACGTGCAGTTTCATTCAAGGGAGATTTCCTACCTTGATCATTTGCCAAGTATGCCGGATGTGGCTGCCCTCACAAGGGATCTTGACGAAATTCGGACAGCAATGTGGGATAAATCTAGAACAACGGTATTGTCAAAGGGCATGCTTTTCGCTGATAAAGTGCGCCTATGCAGGGTGGTGCGAGTGTACAGCATAAAAGAGTGTCGTAAGATTGTGGTTCATGAGTCATCTAC